TCAAAACTCCCGAAATTAAGAAATTAGAGGACGGCCTTATGCTTTGCTCACATCAGACATCTGATAGTTCTTTGCCTATAATCAATTAGGCTGCAGCCTTGAAACCTTTTATTCACAGGGGAGATTTTCATTTTAAGAGTTTGACTGCTGCAGTCACAGTAAACACAAGCTATTGTGTTATTATCTAATTTGAGAGCTCAATTTTCCCTTGTAAGGGAGCATAAAAATCATCATGTAGAAGTATTTAACTCATGTAGCAAGGGAACACTTGAAACTATCACAGAAGAACTTCCTTACCGTGTTACGCTTGTGGTTCAACTTGAAACAAAATTACAGAATGCAGCGCAAATCAAATCCATATATCTGCATATTTTGGATCCCTACATTTTCATATCTGCTAAAGTGTTTAAATTTAAACATTGCAATTATTTGATTTCTGCTGTTCTTTCGTGATGAGCACTCTAACTGAAAGGGAGTCCAAAAGTACTAGAAAAAGCAAGAAAGGATGTTTTCCCACTGTTCTGTATACTAATCTGTACCTGACCTTGAACAAAACTTTGCTTTTCAGCATCATGATAATTCTTAAAACAGGAGGTTGCTTTTCTCAAACCAGTAGAAGTGGCCTTGCCTCATTTTCTCTTCTGTGCATTTTAATCAAAACAAAATTATTGCTCTCACTAAACTAAATAATTATTCAATGTTCATGTTGTAGTCCTTCCACACATTCAAGACTCTCAGTCTCTCTACCTACCTTCCTCATGCAGCTTTTTGATTTGTGAGGTGTAATATGCAACTGTGAGCAAACTAGTGTGCCCTGCCAGGCAACAATTCTCTTAAAAATAAACTCCTTAAATATTTTTTTTTCCTGAAAAGATGATTTCCTTTGAAATACAACACAAAAAGTCTTTCTAGTTTGCTTTACCTGAGGTTCTCGGGAATTTTTCTGCTTTTCTAGTGTTCTTATTAAAAAAAGCAAGTCAAGGGAGACTCTTAAAATCCAATAGCATGTAGCAATATTTTCCTTCTAACGAATGGCTTTCCATGGTCATGTTTGCACAGAGACCAGGCATATACTCACATGAAAGTATTATCTAGAAATTGAAAATAACCATACTCATAAAATTGGAGAATGCTAATAAATAAATAAATACAGCATTTGTTAAAAGTGACATTTATTCATAAGGGGCTGAACTTCACAGCAATTAAGCGTGGACTGATTCGAAATGTCTAGTCTTTGAAAAACTGAGGTGAAAACAAAGTTGAGCTCTCAGAATTCTACCTCAAATCTCTGCAATCAGGTTTCTGAAAGTCTGAATTTCCAGTAGTTGTCATTTATATCTCTGCAAAACGTTACCACTGATTTATGTGGTTTATCAGTGGACTTACCCACTGATTTAGGTGGATAATTCAGATTTATTAATAGCCTACATCCACTGCACATGCCTAAGCAATACAAAACATTTGAGGCAAGGGAAAACAGAGTCCTAGAGCATCCTGACACCTGCAGTAAGTGAGTTTTTATGTCCAAAGCATATTGGGCATAATTTAATTTGCACATATCAGGACTTCAATTAAGGTCATCAAAAATTAAAGCGCTTCAAATGGGATGACATATAAGATGACACAGATAAGATGACGGTTGAAAAGGCAGGTTTTCCTTGCATTGCTATAGGTCCATAAACTGTTTAGGTCCCTACCTTCCAGTATACACCCTACAAGGATCTAGGCCTTTGCAACAAAACATCCTCACACATACAGTGATCAAAATTTATTATGATTTGCCTTTTCTGAATTCTGCATTATAATTTCACTGTTTTCAAGTGTGCTTTATAATTTTGGAATAGCAGATGCCCAATACACCAGTGACGCTACAGGGGGTGCCTCTTGGAATCAAATGTCAAAAATAAAGAGACCATTACACTATGCTCTTGTGTTTATCTGGAAACAAATAAAATTAGTAGCTCATATTTTCCAGCTCAATGACACTAAAGAGGAAATTAGTTTTCTCCATCTTGTGAAGAAACATTATTGGAAAATCCCAACGGTAAAAACATGTTCTCAACATATTTTAATTATTTACGCAAATGCCTCACTTGAGAATGGTAGTGTAACCTACATTGTGTCTATGATCTGCAAGAGGATGCTTTGCAATCACACCACTGTTTTCAACTCACATGAGCCAGCTGGGTGGTGCCAAATAGGGAGCAGAATCCAGGCCCTCTTGTCCCTCACAGAAATCCAGGCTTGCTGAGCATGTATCCTTTAAAACCAGAATGTCTTTAGAGGTATTCAGCATCTCTAAATACTGCTAACTTGTTACATACACTATTTCATAAATCCAACAAATACCAAGTATTTAGTCATTTCTAAAGGGATTCTCTCTGGGAATGAGAAAACACATTTTGCTAAAGCTAAATATTCAGCTTTTGCTAAAGCTAAAGCAATGAATTAATTCTGAGACCAAGGCAAAACACCTCAATAGGAAACAAAACAGCTTTGTCTAAAAGTGATGATTAGTATTAGTCGTATTAGCACTTCAAGAAGTGGAGCTCAAACGCTTCTGAGTGTGAAATTTTCCACTTACACCATGTTCTGCAAAGGACATTTTGCAACTAACTGCAAGAAAACTAAATTATGAAGCATACACACAAGATTGTTACATTCCAAAAACACAGAAAACATGTTCAGTTATTATTTTCTTATGTGCTTGCATATTTCTTTACAACCTTCTGAGCAGGATGCACTATCTAGAATACATACAGAACAGAATACATACAGGATTTATATATATATACGTGTGTGTGTGTATAATATATATGTATAAAAATAAAAGACAATTCAAACGTACGTGGTAGCCTACACTTTTACCCATAAGTTCCCTGACTTTTAAGCTTTCCTGTCCAATATATCTTTGCATCATATGCCTGATCTACAAAAGATATACCTGGATCTTGGGTGGAATATACTATGATTCATTAATAAATGCACTGTACTTTCAGCATGGTCCAAGCACTTGCCAAATGCTGACACATCCCAGAATCTCCCCGTCTCTGGGCAGTTCCTGAGCCCCCAACATGGGGAATATTCTCTGTTACCTGCTCGTAGCAAAGGGCACTGCCAAACACTGCCCTACAACTTAATGTCCCTCCTATTAACACTCTTGCTGCCACGCTTTGTAAGCTTCCTTAATGCAGGCTTTTTAACTTCTGAAAATGAAGCGGTTTCGTAGTTCAATTACACCCATAAAACAAGCTCTAAACGCAGTCAAGCCATAAACCACACTGTATTTCCTCTCCTACATTGCGTGTAACTTTTAACAAAACACTAAGAATCTCTTAAGGCTACCCAGCAATTGCCAGCAGTAGCTGGCAGCAAGCACGGTGATGGATTTAATGACTATATTGCTCAGCACATAAGTTTCTCCTTAATGGGCCCGTTTTGGTTACAGAACTTGCCTCCTTTGATGTGCAGCCTCACAGGCTACACTAGGCACAGCAAATTAACCATTTTCCTGAGCGCCTTTGATTTCTGAATGCAATTCTCAAACTAATCTCTTAAAACAGAGATTTTTCTTTAACTTATAGCCAATATCCCTCCTTTTAGAAAAGGGATCGTGTAATAAAGCTGCCGGGGATCTGTGTTATCATAATCGGATTAAAACCTTCAGCATATTTATAGGGACACAGTGAATATGTAATCTCAGAGGAGTTAACTAGAGCTTGCTTTTTTCTCCAGGCCTCCCAGGTTTCAGACGTATTTTGCCTCAGAACGGAGGGCACAAGGACTCCTGACCTCCTACAGCTGAAGCCTTCACTTTTATCAGCCTCACACCCCAAAAACGACTCAAAATGACTGTTAAACACAAGTGTGTCGTCTATGGGGGTGCAGTGCATACCCGGGCGAGGCTGCTGCTGCTCCAGAACGCCAGGAATTCTCCCCAAATGGCTCCATGGCATCAGGATGGTCCCTCTTGGCTTGGGCAGCCTCCTCATCCTCCCAGACAGGGCCTTGGGACAATGTCTCCTCAGCGCCCTCGGCTCCTGGGCATCATTCGAGTGAGGAAGGAACGGAAAAAAAAAAAAAAAGAGTCAGATATTGTGTATATTCTAGGTTTTTAATGAATTTTGGATTGTTCCTGCTAGCCTGTAAATCAAAGAAGAAAAAACAAAAACAAAAAAAAAGTAAAATAAAATAAGGTAAAAAATGCAAAGTAAAATAAAATAAAGTAAAATAAAATAAAGTAAAATAAAATAAAGTAAAATAAAATAAAGTAAAATAAAATAAAGTAAAATAAAATAAAGTAAAATAAAATAAAGTAAAATAAAATAAAGTAAAATAAAATAAAGTAAAATAAAATAAAGTAAAATAAAATAAAGTAAAATAAAATAAAGTAAAATAAAATAAAGTAAAATAAAATAAAGTAAAATAAAATAAAGTAAAATAAAATAAAGTAAAATAAAATAAAGTAAAATAAAATAAAGTAAAATAAAATAAAGTAAAATAAAATAAAGTAAAATAAAATAAAGTAAAATAAAATAAAGTAAAATAAAATAAAGTAAAATAAAATAAAGTAAAATAAAATAAAGTAAAATAAAATAAAGTAAAATAAAATAAAGTAAAATAAAATAAAGTAAAATAAAATAAAGTAAAATAAAATAAAGTAAAATAAAATAAAGTAAAATAAAATAAAGTAAAATAAAATAAAGTAAAATAAAATAAAGTAAAATAAAATAAAGTAAAATAAAATAAAGGGCCGCGCCGCGCCCGGGCGACTGTTTGAGCCCGCGTGCGCTTTTCCTGCGTGGGGCTCCGCGGGTGTTTCCGGAGCGAGGCGGCCGGGCGCAGAGTACAAACGTAAATTTTGTGTGTCTTGTAAATTCTGTATTTATTAATCCGAACGATGAGCTGATCCGTTTTGAACGCAGGCAGGCAGCGCTGCACCCGCCACGCGCGGGATTTCTGTCCCCATAGATGCCTTTTGCACAGCTCGTCGTGAAAAGGCACCGGGGTCCTTTCATTCAGAGCCTCGCGGCCTGCAGAAGCCCCCCAAAATGGGTCTGTGGTGAGGAGAGCGCCGAGGTTCTGCCCTCTTCCTGTGGCTTTGCTGTGCTGCGCAGCGCCCACGCGAGAAGCGTGAGCTTTTGTGGGGCGCCGCGGCAGGAAGTGACAGGGATACCATTTTAAAGGCGACAGATAAGAGCGTGTAGGTGGATTCCCACCTTAGGGATTTTGTTCAGCAATGCAGATTTTCCTCCAGGAAAACCCTCAGGGGAGCGAACAAATCTGACAGCATGTCAGGAACTCTCAAATAGCAAAAAAAGGAAGGGTTTTTTTTGAATAAATACAAAAATTTCTAAAGCTGGTGACTGAATAGATGAGACAAAGAATGTCACAGTTAATTCCAGTGTCAGGGTGCTGGATCTCCAAGGAGTTTCTGGAAAGCATCTGAGATGATTTGAGGGGCTCCCAAAGAAAAATATCAGATTTGACAGTTCTGAAGTCTCCTTGTTTTTCATCCCTTAGAAAAATTCTCTTTGATTGGGCGCAATGCCTTTGGGCCTTTTTTACACTATCCTGTAGTGAAAAGGAAAAGAGATTTGTCATTTTACATTTACAAATGGACATGGAAGCAGAGTTCCTTTTTTTTTGCATTTTGTATTTGAATATTCATTCTGTTGGCTTCGATAGAATTTTATGTAGTTTCAGGATTTGTTGCTTTTATACAATTTTTGTGCATAGCAATGAGTTAGTTGTTACTAAATACATTGTGTCACGCTGTAGGCAGTCTCAGGGATAAAGCACGGCACAGAAGCAATTATTTTCACCCAATTTTACAAGCTGTCATTGGGACCCCGTTCTTGTACCGTATGTGTTTCCTTAAATCAGAGGCATCTATGTGTGTTTTTTTTTTCTCCCCTCCATCAGTTGTACCACCTGGCTATAAATAAATATGACAATGACTGTTACACTGCTGCTACAGTCCATAGAGTAGGGATGTGTTTTGCTTCAGCTTCTGTTTTTTGGGGCTGCATTTCAGCTCTGAGCAGAACTGTGCTTGTGTGGACATCCCCTGGCCCCAGAGATAAGTGTGTACAGTGCAAATGATTGGTGTTGAAGCTGTAAACTCATAATATTCAGACTGAATTGGGATAAATTCAATAAAATTCAGTTCATAAGATCAGAATATCTTGAGACTATCACGTCCTATATTGCCAAAGTTGTATTTTTATAGTAAATATTGTTAAACAGTAAAAAAGAGCTGCTTTGCATTAGAATACTGCCTGATGCACTGTGATATGTCTTATTAACCCCTGACTCGCCTCTCTTGCTCAGTGCTAAAAACAAAAATGCAGAATATTATTAGAAATTTTAGATGCAGTTTTGACTTGTCTGGAAGCATGCTGTTCATGTCGCTCTGAAATACGGGTTTTTAATGCATTTGGCTGCAATCAGTCTTTGAGGAAGAAGCAATGAAGAAGTGTGTTCTTGCAACACACACTCTGAGAGAGGCTGTCAGTGCCATCTTAGAGCAGTTGAGGTGGATTCTTAGTACAAGCCAAATGGTGACTTCCTTAATGCCCTGACAGTTGTTCTCATTATATTTACCATCTCTGTTTAACATTTCCTTCAATTAAAAGAATCAAGCAGAGATACCTGATAAGAACAATATTCTTGTTAAGACTTGTCACGTGGTAAGTTTACAAGCAGATGTAGAAAGCTTCCTCATTCTTTTAGTTTGAAAGAATACTTATACATACGAGTTCTTACTGCTTGATGACTCAGTAGGAAGTGAAAGAGTCAGTACAAACCACACTGCAATGGAGAAGAAACTATATATGGTAAAACCTCTTACATATGTGGTCTTGCACACAGGCAAACTTGAATACTAATCTTAAAATGCCTCTGGTGCAGAGCAAACATTTGCAAAAATGCATGATGTTGAATTCTTGGCCTCCTTAAAGAAATGTGCAAATTCCCTGCATTTTTAGTGTTACAAGCATAGTACGTAGTAAGCACTGTGCTGAAGTTATGTGAGGGTTGTTTCAAAGAATGTACCCAATAATGAACGGGAGAGAAATAAGTGTGCTGTGGTTGAATTATATTCAGAGGTTTCAAATTCAGAGTGGAAAGTGCAATGAATTTGGTCATTAGAAAATGAAAACCTGCTATATCCCAAACTGCTAAGTTTATAATGTTTAAATAAGGTTTTAGGGGGCGGGAGGGAGGGGGCTTGTAAAGAAAATAAGGAGGAGAAACATCTATTTTTTCCTTCTCAAAAAATGAAAACTGTCTAGGACTTATTATCTATGGACACATTTTTGTCCCTTGGATGAAGCAGCTAGTGCTACTATTAGGTCTTTTCCTTTAGCTGTAATAATCAATACTGTGTCATAAGGAACCTACCAAACTAGCTGAATATCATCTATCTAAGGGCAGGAAGAACCCGAGCCTGGGAAGAGTCTAAAGAGGCTGACACATGAGGTTAGACTTGTTCTCACCTTCACCAAATAACTCTGTAGCCTGGGGGAAAAATTATAATCTGTGCAAGGGGAGGTAAAATTTTCCTCTCTCTGTTTGCTCCTGAGTTTTGTAAAAATGTTGTTCTTAAGGTTCTTGGTTCCATTGTGAAAGAGGAAGGGAATAGTCTCTGAATGCCGAAGCTCAGTTTCATTCATCATACTTCATATAGACTAAATCTAGTTTTGATTTCAGACAGGCTGATTGCAAAATTGTAGAAATGACAATTTGTTTTCCAAATCAGGCATTTGTCATTGTCAGTATGCTGCTATCACCCAATCTCTGGGAAGGTGTGTCAAATCCCTGAGGGCTTAGCGTAGAAAGATACTAGAAGTTACCCTTCCAATTCAAACTGCAGGAGCTTAGACTAAGTATCTTTGGAATTCAGCATTCAAACGCTGACAGCAGAGCTTCTTGAGTCCAAGTTCCAACAGGACAAGTTGTAAAAATTTGTTTGGATGTCTGGGCTGCCTGAAGGTGCTTATGGCTCATACAGCTTCTGGTTCCCTAAACTAGAGCATATGAGTGTGCAGACACTTTTATGGGATCTCCTGCTAACCTCCCTGAATTTCAATGTACACTGAAATTCTGATCCTTAATAAGCATACCTTAATATTGGAGCAGTAATAAAAATTGTGTGATTGTGATTGCTCTCTATGTGGTAATTCAGCATGCCTGCAAGGAAGATTATTTTTTGTAAAAATCTGTTCACCCTTATTTGGGCTCAGGCTGGTCCTTCAGACTGTCTCAAGTGCTTCCTCTGGTGTGAAAGACCAACTGTCAAGTCTTTTGGTGCATGCAGATAGTGTGATCCAAAAATGCTTGTGGCTACTCTTTTTCATCAGCACCACATTCTCAAATACATACATGAAATCTGTATAACTCCTTAAAGTAGTAGTAAAGGGGAGATAAGTGCTGGCCTTTTCTGAAAACATAGTTTGTACCAGAGTAAATGAAATGAGTTTTTTATACAGTATCTTTCACTGGATATGGCAAATAGCCCTGCCTTTGCAGAGAGTGGATGGGGGCCACAAAAAGCAAAAACATTTATTTCCTCCACCATTATATGTTTTCTACTGGGTGCCAATGAAGGAAGTTAAACATTTAAACCCTTAAGTGAATGAGGATCTATTATCTGAAGTACTAATTCATGCTGGTTTTAGTTGTAATTAGCTGTACCCATTGCTACGGTAATTGCTTCAGTGGAAGCCTTCAGAACTCGCTTCAGAAAATTCGGTGAGAATTTTGGAGATTCTAACAGGTGGCTTTTAATGCAACCCAAAATAGATAATTTGTCATCAAGATGGGGACCCAAAGCAGTTGTCCCTTCTCTGTCCTCGTAGGCCTTCAGCACCTGAAAAGCCCAGAGCAACATGAGCCTGAGGCTGAACTCGTGAGCTGCCGAGGTTCTCCCCTACCCGAGGGATCCTATGAGTCTGTTACCCCTGTGTTCCTGGCTGCTTCAGGAATTTTGCAGGAGAAAATGTGTCATGTTTGGTTCAGGACTGCGTGATTTTCTTCTGCCGTACTGCTATACCGTGACGCATGTACTAAAGAGGAGAAGCCTGCTCTCGATTAACCCTGATAGGCAGCAGAGTAGGATGACTGAAGTGGGTAATTTGCTGGTTACCATGAGCTTAAATTGTAGCTTCTTGCAGTTTTTGGTGAACAGATGAGCTTCCTCAGCTGAACCTGTGTGTTTCTTACACTCATTCTTTCCTCGGTGTTTTCTCAGTGACACGGTATTTCCTCTTTTCAGATGTATTTTTAACAAAAAGTGTTTAAGCCTGTCTTGTTTGTGAATTACTAAGAGCTAAGGTTTCATTTGTCCTGTACCTTCCAGAAGGGCTTACTGCAAACTCAGTTTTTTTCCCTTAAAACAAATTCTGAAAATTCTGAAACTCTTGATAAAAATTAATATGAATTGTTCACAGATTCTCTGCTTGCTCCCCATTGAACCCTTCCTATGACAGCTTAAATTCATGTGGTTGTGCTCTTTCTGATGTGTGTCCTGCTGCCTTTCCCTCTAATGGGAGGGCTTAGTTAATTTGGTCTCTGTAGGTGCTTGTTAAAAGGTGATCTATTTCAAAATGATCCGTTTCAGCTTGCTGGAGAACTTTTACATAGAGGAGAATAAAAAAAAAAAACAAATGCTGGAAGCTGTTATGTCTCTCATTGTACTTAGTAGCTTTAGTGCTGTTCCTTCAAAGTTTGACCACTTCCTTTAAAAAACATTCTGTTCAGTGTTATGGATCAAGACATCACTGAAAATGTGCAAAAGTGATTTGAAAGCATAAATCCAGCTGGTTTCCAGTGGGGTACATGCTTTTAAAACAGGGGGGCTAGTGTTTTTACCCTAAAACAGGTTTCTGATAGTAAACAAACACAATGCATATTCTAACCTAATTATTTATTTCTTTTCAGTTTGTGAAGTGTGGCTATGCAGGCTCAAACTTTCCAGAGCATATTTTTCCAGCTTTGGTTGGAAGACCTATTATAAGATCAACTGCTAAAGTGGGAAACATTGAAATCAAGGTAATTTTTTGTTATTATTTCTTTCTAATGGATGAAAATAGGGCAGCCTTTGACTTGCATAATTTTTGCAAAAGCTTTTTTTTCCCCCCCTTGTTACTGTTTATGCTGCTTCAGTATCTCTTGATTCATTTATCTGTTGGATTTTAGCCTGTCACATACTGCAAAATAACAGAGAGGGTAATCTAAAGCTACAGGAGGCCTTCAGCTAGCGTAATGGAAGAGGTAGCAGGTAGGACTCAGGTGGTTCTGGGGAAAAGGGGACTTCAAATGCCAGTGTATAAATGAAGTTAAGATTAAAAGGCAGAAGTCTGACAGAAGTGTCGCCTAACCGTAATGTAATATTCCCAAGACAGTGCTGAATAACGAACAGCTGAACATTTCAGTTCTTCCTATCCTGTTTGCTTACTGCTCACAGTTGATCATCCGTGATCTTGTATAAGATGTTTAGTTGTGTTTACATTTCATTGTTGCTTTTTTTTGGTTTGTTTTGTTTCTGCTGATGATAGACATAGTACTTCACACCAGCTGGGGAGGGAGAGGTTCCTTGCTTCTGATGACTTCATCTTAAGACGTAATTCAGGCCTGGGCTCAGGGAGGAACCACTGATTGAGAATCTTTTCCCGAAGTCTGGCAGAGCTGTCATTTCTCACTGTACTCTGTAAATGCACAGCAGTGCTGCAAATGTTAGTAGTTGGCTGGGCAATAAAGACTTTAATAGCTGCATCTTGGCCTGGCATGGTCAGAGCCTCCCTTCTTGTTCCTAGCCACACACCTCACCTCATGGTGGCAGTGCTGTTTGTGCAGTCATGTCGTGAGCCACTTTAGAAAGCCAATTCAATGGAGAAAGAGTAATTTGTTTGTGAAAAATAGTAGTATCTTTGTCAGTTAAAGCTTTGGCTGCCTCACTCGACAGTTGTGCAAGGCAGAACCAGGAACCTGAAGGAGAAGTGGGAGGGACGTGGAACTGGAGAAGCTGTCACTTAGGGCAGCTAAGGTGAAGCAGAACCGCAGTCTTTCAGTTGTGCCTTATCTGTTGCTAGCTGAGCAACAGCTTAGCTGAAAAAAAAAAAAAAAGGCCAGTCTTATTATTTTCAGATCTCTGTATGAGAACTTAGGCTCTCTGATTTCAGCTGCTGCCTGTAAAAAAGCTGGTAACATCAGTGCAGAGGGCAGTTTTAATAGGCAGAGAGGAAGAAAGGCGTCAGGCTTTTCCAAACTGCTTCCCCCCCTGCTCTGCATATTGCAGTTCCCTTTACCTTGTGTCAAGGGTGGTGTGGGTGGAAGGATGGAGATCTCTTTGCCTTACACAGTAGGTAGGAGGATTAGCAGGGACAGGAAAAATACTTCCCATTTTCTTGCAAGTCCTGGGTAGAGGTGTTTTGTCAGATGTATACTTGAACGGGGTGTGACAAGCAGGTCCCCATAAAGTGGTTAACAAGGTTTAAGTCCAGGGGAAATTCGCTGGCACAAAATCTTATCGATGAAGTCATATTTATTTTCTTTCTAGCTGATCTGATATAACCTGCCCTGCCAGTTTTGGTGTCCTTTGCTTAGCTAATAACTTATTATAATACCACTAAAGATGACAGCGTTGGATTAGGAAGATAAGAGGAAGGGGCTAATTGCTATGGGATGGATGCAGAAACAAACAAACAACCTAAAACCTACAATAATCTCTCTATTTTTTATGTATTGTCCTTTTTTTTCTTGAGCATGGGAATACTTGGGTGTATTTTAGAGAGTATAAAGTGTTGTGTCCCAATTCTTCCTAGTTGTTGTAGCTTCTGTTTATGATAGCTAGTCCCTCTTTCTTAAGAAAATGGTATATCAAGAGAAGAAATCTGTGCCACAGATGTTTCAAGTATCCCAGTAGGATAATACAGGAGAAGGCTTGTTAAGTTTTTTCTGTGTGGAATTCCTGTATGTTTCCTAAAAGCATTTTAGCAGATAACTTTTATGCCAAATTTTAGGTCTAGCTATTAACTGCAAGTTCTTGCTGGGTAACTTTAAAACTGAATAAAGGAAGCTGGCAAGAAGATTAGTGGTTCAACTTTTCAAAAGTGCTCAGAAAAGCTATATTTTGGTGTGAAATTCAGAAACTCTGTGAAAAGAATCCAGAATATTTTGAAAACAATGATTATCATCCATCTGTTGAGCTATGAATTTCAAGTTGCTTTATCCATTTTTACTTTCAGATTCTAGTTTCCTGATTCAGGGAAGTTTTGTTGAGGGCAGCGGTCAGGGCTGCTTATGCCAACACAGCGCAGCAGCACTGAGAATTTTCTTGCTGCTATAGAAGTGATCAGATTGGGGTGCTGGTATCTGTTTTTGTTTTTTTTTGTTTGTTTGTTTTGTTTTGTTTGTTTTTTACTTATGTTTGTAGTTCCCTTGTATTGGTTTATTACACAGCCATAAAGGCACCCACAGAACAGGTAACACAAGTATGTCCAGGGCCTGCTTAGGTCTCTGCTGCTGTCTGAGAAATGACAGTGGCATGTCAGCCTCGGTAGCAGGGGAGTAGCTTTTTCCACAATCAATATGCAGCATAAACACAAAAATTCTGTTATTACTAGGTTCGTTTTCAAAGGTAGCTACTAGACAGACTAAAGCACTTTTCCTCTGACTCGATTTGTATACTAAGAAGATTTGCCTTCATGGAACTGATAGTTGCCATATTGCTTTTAACAACCTAAGTGACTCAAAGTAGATTTAATTGAAGGAGGAAAACCACATTAATAGTGAAAATGGTTTTAGTAAAATTGTGAACAACGTACAGATGCATATATTGTAAGTATTCCTTAGTGCTTCCCAACTTTAATTCTCTTTTCTTTCTTCCTCCATAGGTTGCTATAGGCAGGGGCTTTCAGTAGTAACTGCTGTTACTACTTCACTTCATGATTACTTATTTCCATTCTAAAGTTAGATTGCATAAATGAAGTAAATATCTTTTTTTGACACTTTCCACGTATTTGTTCCATGACATATGGATTAGTATGTTTACAGACGAATGCTTTCATGTTATTGTTTTCAGTTCTTGAGTGTTTAAGGGTAAATATTTAGCAATTGCTGGAACTAGTTTTGGTCAAATGCCTTGTGCTATCTAGTGTACTTCAAATAAACACAATGCCCAGGGTAAAATTCCGGTGTTACAGAATATTTATGGACCTAATCTCGTTTACTAGAAGGATGCAGATGTACTGATCTTATGTGCAGCATATGATACATAGAATTGAGATGGCAGTGACTTGTAGCAATAACTTACTTTAATGAGAGATTTTAATCTTAGATCCCGAGAATAGCTTGGCCTCAACTACACTAGCTCAGATCATTTCCAGCTGTACATGCCTCTCTTCTCAGCTTATTTCTACTGTGTACTTAAAATAATTTGAGAATTTCATTTAGGCCTTTTCTGACTTTCTTGCTTCTACCTTCTTTCTTCACCTTTCTTGACCTGTTGAAGTAGAATAACAAAAAGATGGTAAGTGAGGTGCCCCCTGTGCTGTTTGTTCACCATTTTTGCTTGATGGGACCTAGTAGCTGTCATGTTATTTTTGATGCTTTTTATTGTTTTGTCTTGTCCTACATTTTACATTTGAATACATACTTATTTTGGACGATGTTCATTGCTTTGGTTTACTAGCAACTAATTCATTAGAATATTGTATGTATTGCTTCTAAATGTTACATAACCTGTAGTTTTGCAAGATGCAAGAATAACCCTTCCAGATGAACATGAGCTCAGTATCTTCAACAGCACGACTTGCTTTATTTAACATTACAAACTAAGGGCTTCAAACAACTTTCAAATTTCAGGTAGACAAATATTATTCAGAGTAGAGAAGTGGTGGCAACACTGAATGACCTGTCCCTGGTTTCTCTCTGCAACTTCACCTACCCAAGTGTGCAGGCTGTTTGTTAGGACAGCTCTTCTGCCCTTTGGCTGGGTTTTAAAGGGACATGGAGATTTTGTGCAGCTTTTCCTGTGCATTAGAATAATGGCTTTTCCTAGCTTATGTCCTATTCGGTAGCATAAAGCTTCAAAAAACAGTACCCAGAGCAAGTTTCAGATTTTTGGTGCTGGTGCTCAGAGGTGATGTGGCTGCATGGTCTCTTCATGGTGTATTTTGCTAAAGTACATTTGATTTTAGAAAACCATTTGAAATTCTCAGAGGTAATGTGGCTGCATGGTCTCTTCATCGTGTGTTTTGCTAAAGTACATTTGATTTTAGAATGTAATAGCCTTGGCTTCTGACTTGATACAGCTGGGGTAACCAAAGGGTGATCTGCTGTGCAAGGGAAAACAGATGAAAGGCCTTATCAGGAGAGGAGGCAGAAGAGGAATTGTGTGAATTAAATGAACTTTATGATCAACTTTGTTACTACTTTTTTTTAAGGCGTTATATAAGCTAGATTTTTTGTGTATCTTTTTCTCCTGTTTCCCTAGCATTGAATTGTGGGTTGAGTAACCTACATTTCAGTGTTGTGTGCCACAGTAGCTGCAGACTGGAGGCATATTTTTGTGTGAGGCAGCTGTGGGCTTTTTGTTTTGATGTTGAATGAAATGATGAATGGAAGCAGGACTGCTGGTGCCTAGAAATGTGTTCTCAGAGTATAAATATGATTAAGTCAGCGAAGGCTTCTTTGGAAGAGCATGGGATATAACACGGAGCAAAGGTTACATTTTATTGTGCATACTTCCTTTGGGAAATATGTGGAAAGGAAAAGATATGGTGGTACTAATTTGAATGTGCAGTGTTTCGCATAACTAACTTTGATGAAAGGACCACTTAATTAGTGCAAGATGAACATAAAACTGTGGATTACTTGGTTGCATTTGTGTAAGAATGGGATTCTTGGCTTGGGAATTTTGGCATGGACCAGATGGGTTATTTTCTGTTTAGATGTCTCTCTTCTTCACACCCTACTGGCCTAGGCTAATATGTGACCCATTGTTTCTTTTAATGTCTGGTGTGGAATTTCTAATCCCTTATTTGCTTTTGCTACTGTTCTGTATGCTTATGCACCACTCATTATTCCTTTTTTGGTAATGTGCACAGAAATTTGCAACATGCATGGAAAACTATCTGCAAATCCCACCTACTACCCTTATGTGCTATTTTGCATCTCAGCCTTTTCAAATGAGTATTTGATAAAAGCATTTTGGAGGTGTCAGTGGAGAAACATCTATGCTTGTAAAGGTCTTCATAGAGGCTTGCTCTAACAGGATTTGCTGGTATGTTTAAGGTTAATTAGAGAACGGAATTAAAATTGATTTTGGAAAGGTTTGGGATGGGTCACAGCTGTACTATATGAAATATATTCTATTTCTTAAGTACTGGAAAGTCATTCTAAAACGTGGGCATTGTTTAAGAGCACAGTTGGACACAAGCTGGAGCTGTTCACTGTCATTCTGGAGCATTTCGAGCAAGAGAACTGTGAAAACACTGACATGTTTCTGTATTACAATTTTACAGGACCTCATGGTTGGTGATGAAGCAAGCGAATTACGCTCAATGCTGGAAGTTAATTATCCAATGGAGAATGGCATAGTTCGGAACTGGGATGATATGAAGCACCTTTGGGATTACACGTTTGGACCAGAAAAACTTAATATTGACACAAAAAATTGTAAAATATTACTCACAGAACCGCCCATGAATCCAACTAAGAACAGAGAGAAGATTGTGGAGGTATGTCTGGCACACAGAAACTAGTTATTACCCTTGTTGAAGAATGGCTAAGAGGTCGTATCTTTAGCCGTTGAGGCAAAGCAGTTCTCCGGTTTTCTAACCAAAACTGCCTCAGCCATGGTCATCAAGGCTGCTGTGGTCAAACACAAACAGGCCCGTCTCATTCCAAAGTTACAGGCAGGCTTCTTGTCTCCAGGGAACTATCACAAGGAAACCTCAGAACCGGGAGTACATATTTATCTCCAGGGATCCCAGAACCAAGATTGGCTTTTGGATAATGGCAGTTTCTTCAAATGACCTAGACTTCTTTAGCTCATAAGACTTCTGAGGAAATTTAGGCTTGAGCAAAATATTTACAAGATGGGGCAGTGATATTGGAACTATCTGAGACATAGCGAAGAGAAGCGTGATGACAAGCAATTTACTAATCTTTGATTAATATTAGGGATCATTAATGAAAGCTTTCTAAGAAGGTAGATCCTGGGCGACCTAACTTCCTTCTGAACCTTACGTTGGTGTCAGGTGCTTGTTGCATAGATCTAATAACATGTGGCAAACACTTAGCTTCTGAAGAGCAATAATGTGGGAGGAGAGCTAAAAATTTGGGTTTTTTTTCGCAATTGTCACAGATATTTCCAGTTCTTGTAAGTATTCAATGTAACAAAAATGTTACAGGTTCTAAAAAGTGACTTGAAGTGTGAAAGTCTATATTCCATGCACCCCAACTCAGTTGATGAGTTTAATAAGACTTTTGTCATTTCATGCAAACTTTGCCTCTAAAATCCTTTTGTTGGCACAGCTGTGGTAACACTGTCTGCAAAGTGGCAGTTTTTGCACTAACGTTTCCATGGCTGGAGAAAAAGTTGAGTAAAGCAAAAGTGGGAAAACTTCAGTGGAAAAAATCAAACTGTGCAATTTGAGTTTGTTTCTAATTTCAAGATTTCTTAGTGATTATGGGCACGAGGGACCTGTCACCTTAGCATCACGTGGTGCCACATTAACAACATGTCTTATATGTCAGGCACTTGTGGTGTGACGGGCAGAGCAGCCTCCGTGGGGCAGGAATGGTTGAATTTCCTGTTCGGGCTTCTCTGCGTTCCAGCTATTTACAATAGTGTTCTTGTTTCTGTTTTCCTGCTTAACACAACGGGCTACTTTTAGTTTTTCTGAGTAATTTTATACAAACCGTTTCAATTTATGGTAAGAAAAAAGCTTAGTCATCTGCTCCATTTCAGGTAGATTGATATATGTGCATGTGATTTGTGTATACACACACACAACAGATATATACATCCATACACACACCTTTAAACCCCCACCACATTATATACATACATCTATATATGTTGTACTTCATTCTGTCTTCCTGGGAATCTTTTTCCCCACCTCATTCTTCTATCCAAGCCCAGCTCACTGTAATAGCAAAAAGGATCCACCTGCCATATGTGTAGAGTAAAATACGTATTTTAAAAATGTTTTTGTTCACAGCACTTAGAAGACACTGACAGTCCTTCAGTTTTGCTTTGTGCTGCAGTACCTTAGTCTAGTTTCATGGTGCATTCTCGTTGTGCAATACACTCAGGAGCTGCCAGGCTTTTGTGGCATATCATGTAGCCAGAGCGATACTCTGGTACAGTCACTTCTCCTTATCCTAATCTAGGATTCCTTATCTCTTATTCCCCAGGCGTTAGCTCTTCCTTGCTAGACTCATTTAGAGCAATGCTACTCCCTTTTAGGAGGGTATTCTGCTCAGTATTTGCATCGTAGATTTGTTAGTGTGCATGTCATGTGGTAAGGCATTTTTTCCATGTCAAACAGAACAGATTTAGGCCTCTTGAAAGAAAGAAAACCTCAAAGCCCTGCATGTACGTGTCGAAAGGTTTTTGCAATAACTTCTTGAGGATGGCATAATGTGTGAAGGCAGCACTTAATGCCATTCCAATGTTCACTTTGTTGTATAAAGATACAAATCTAGATCCTGCTTTCCTTTTGAAAGCACTCAGGTTGCCTGTGAGATTCATTCCTCTCTATCCACTGAATTAGTGCTGGCTTTAGATGATGGCTGTTGAAATTCGGAGTGTTTCCCTTTCAGCTGTTCCTCTTCTGCAGCCACTTCTGTGCTCTTTGCTTCTGCCAGTGCTGTGTGAATGCTGGTGGTGGCCGTCACCCCAGCCAGCCTTGTCACAGCATGCTTGTCCTCAGCCCGTGCACCTGCCTCGTGCCAGCTTTCCTTTTAGATTACTCTGTTTACGGTTTTATAAAACAGACGGTGTTCCCACAGCAAGGTGTCCCGCGGCGCGCCCTCCCTGTGCTCTTTAGTAGCTCATGACTATGATTGGCACAGATTTTTGGTAGGTTGGTTGGTTTTTTGTCCGTTGAGGTGTGTTAAGCTAGGCTTGACCTCCGACGTGAGGATTGTTTCCCTTCCTGCAGACTCGCTGAGAGGGAACGTGGCAGCCGAGCTGGAGAATGGAGAAATCTGACAGCGTTCGGGGTGGCCCTGGTGAAAGGGGGGAGAAAGGCCCTCCTGTAGGGTTCCCCGTGCAGGATGTTGCTCATTGCCCTCAAAAGGATTGAACGTCTCAAACAAAATGCTTGTGTGTGGCATAGATGGCATTTCTTTTTCTCTTCCCATCCTTCTGCTTCAGAAGCAAAGCGCAGATACGAACAAATCATAAGTATTTATTTCTTCTTTTGCAAAGTATTCCACTACCCAAAACAAAATGAGCCCAGCTTAGAGGGCTTATTTAATACTGAACTTATTTGGCATGCTTCACAGTTCACTGAGTTATTTATGCCTGCCACCTAGAAAAAGATGAAATAATTAACTTGACTTTGCGAGGATCTTGTTTTTGAATTGGCCAGCCATTTAAAATCCACTAATCTAACAAAAAGGGTTCTTCAAATACTTCTGAATACTAAAGTTGTCATGCATCAGCTTTTTTCTTTAAAAATATTTAGGTATCTTTCTTGAACAGTGGGAGTACTGACCATTTAATTGGTTTATAGTCCAAAGATTTGCAGAAGTGCTCAAGATACCCTGGAATAACAAAGCCATAACTTGTTTGTGCTAGAATAATAAAAGTTAATCATTTTTTCCTGTTCTGATGAAGTATGTTGAGAGGAAAACTGCTGTACAGTATGAGTTGTTTATGTGGCCTCTTTGTGTTTATAAAGAGCCTATAAACAGCGTGTGCTTTAAACTTTCCTCGTTGAAACCAGTTTGGAGGGATAGGGGAGCCCAGCCTGCAAAGCAGGCGTTGCCTTTCGTGTTGTGCAAACCTGTAGGCAGCCCCTGAGTGGCACTGGCCGTATTTCTTCAATTACAGTGGATTTGGAACAAAAAGCCATTTTTAGAAGCTCGTCAGAAGCTGTAAGGAAGGAAAGAGGAAGGTCCAGTTGCCCCAAATAGCTCATGACCCCGTGCGGATTGTGCACCCGCGTGGGCAGGAGCCTGCTGGGGCTGTTTGTCACAGTCTGTGGTTGTTGAAGCACTGCAGACCTGGGATCACGAAGGCAAAGCCTGAACGTGGTCAGGATCAGGGCACCCGCCTTCAGCAAACGGCTCCTTCCCTCGCCACCCTTCACTAATGAAGGACTTGGCTGCCTCCCACTCATTAAGTGCTTTGCAAAATGGCTTAATAAAGCTACAGAAATTGGTGTGTGGGTTTCTTGAAGGTATTAAACGTGGTTGTTAAAAGGATGGGAAATGTTTTAACTCCTTGATACTGCTCCTCTGACATGAATGGGCAAGTAAAGTACAGAACTGAATGTACTACTTACTGCTGTAAAGCAAGGTGGTTTCTAATGGTCGTGGGATGTAACAGCTTGGATTTATTTTTCTCCTTAGCAAAAATATCATTATTGGAATACAGTTTTCTTCTGAATGTCTGTGTAATATCTTTTAAGAGTTTGTCTTTATCTGTACATTCCTTTTGCCTTTGTCTTACAGGTTATGTTTGAGACTTACCAGTTTTCTGGGGTATATGTAGCCATTCAGGCTGTTCTTACTTTGTATGCTCAAGGTAGGTGAAAATAAATGTTCAATTTATAAATGTGTTACCGAACCAAAGTTCTAATATAGTATTGATATATTTTGGCCTTATTTCAATACTAACCTAAGTAAGCTCAACTCTGGTCATTACTTTGTAAATAGGAAGATGTAAAACAACTTAGAGCAGTCCATAGAGCTTTTCCAAACTGTGTTTAAATGAAAGTTCAAGACCTTCTAATATATAACAACCAAGCAACACCTAAATGGAATGCTTGCTTTTGAAAAGAAAAGTTCTTTAAAACTTTTCATTTAAATCAAGAGCAGTAACGATTAAAATAGTGGCAAAATTATGCGTAAGACTTACCTCATTCTGTCACAGTAAGTAATGTTGCTGCTGTTAAAACTCTTCGAACCAGTTGTTGCTTTCTTGCAATTCTGCCTGTGCATGCACCTTTTTAAGGCAAAAGGGTTTATAGATCACAACCTAATTCTAAATTAGGAAATTCTTGAGCAATTCCAAATTGACAGTCTTTTGAAGCTCGATGTGGTCTCTTCTGATGTGCTCGCTGCTTCCATGGAGCAAGTGGAGTCTCAGTAGTTTTGCCAGGTCACAAACAAATCTGAAGATCTGAAATAACAACAATCCCTAATAATTCTAAGAAGGTAAATCTGTGGCATGAATAGTGCCAGGTTTCTCCAAAATTATTTTTCCAAAACTAATATCAGGTGAATCTGTCGAGGAATTTATTCTCCAGCATTTAATGATCTTAGAATAATGGTATTCTCTTTAATTGGAGGGCAATTTACGATGTCAAAATACTGGATAAATTCTGAACTATAGAGTTGTAAGCATGTAGGAAGGCCTACATATAATACCATTTAAAAATGTGTGAGAAAGCATTTGTTGGTGTGAAAATCTTAAATTTAAAATCAAGTATATATTAAAATAAATATATTGAAATTTGTTTAATGGAAATAATTTTAATCGTGATCAGTTTCCCCAAAATGATGACAGAGGGGGCAGAGGTGGCCTGAAAATAGCTATTTCATTTTAATTTTAGCCTCTCTATTATTTTACCCTATTTGCAAAAGTACTATAAATTAAAAAATATATATTTTTTCCATTCTTTAAGGGTTGTTGACTGGTGTTGTCGTGGACTCTGGAGACGGCGTAACTCATATTTGTCCAGTTTATGAAGGCTTCTCTCTTCCTCATCTCACCAGACGGTTAGATATTGCTGGGAGGGATATTACTAGGTATCTTATTAAGGTAAGCTGCTGAGAATCTTTAAGGTTGAGGCCAATGCCCAGGGTGGGTTGGTTCAAGTTAAAATCCCCTGACACCATGAAAGCAGTACGCACCTTTCCCTATCTTATTAATGCATTAATTACTCCTGTATTTTCTGTGTTGCTTCAATCTATATTATGTTTGTTCATCTCAATCACTTGTGATATGATGGATATTACTGAGAGATTTCACTTTTTTATGATAGCCCTATAGGCAGGAACACTGTTTCTCTTGGGCAGGAAGAATTGAAAAAAATCCATTAGCTTTCTCAATACATGAAAACAAAAATGAGGTTGTGTTACATCAGATCTGCTTGTTATTTTCAAAGGACTTTTTTACAGGGTTGCAATGATGTAGTGATTCTTACCTCCTCGTTAATCAGGCACTCTACAGCAGTGGTTAACCTTGATGTTCTGAAGTCCTAAACATAAGAATTATTTTCATTATCTCCCTCTTCCCTTGCACTGAAAGTTGTAGTGAAGAAGAGCAGACTTTAATACTAGATGTGCTGTTACCAAAGGGAAGCAGTGAAAGATGCAGGTGTCTGAATGTGCTGCGGTGCCTGTTCCTCCTGCTCCCTGTTCCTCCTGCTCCCTGCTAACGTGCTGTGTTGGCTGCAGCTCCTCCTGCTGCGAGGATACGCCTTCAACCACTCTGCTGACTTCGAGACCGTCCGCATGATCAAGGAGAAGCTCTGCTACGTGGGCTACAACATCGAGCAGGAGCAGAAACTGGCCCTGGAGACCACAGTACTAGTGGAATCCTACACGGTGAGTGCTTGGAGACAGCTTCTGTTGTCTTGAATCTCAGAGGTCTAAATTCAGGTAACATTTAACTTGGCATCTCTTAAAATTTTTCAACAAATGCACTTTTAAACAAATAGTAGGAACTGTACCTGCAAGGATATGCTTGGTCTGCAAGTATGAGTATATCTGGTCCCCGATCTCTGCAAATAAATTGCATAATGATTGAAAAAAAAATCTATTTTCTTTTTCATAGTACTAAGGAACTCTTTACAGTGCTGATAATTATCAACACGTTACATTTTCCCAGCGTTAGGAAACCGTGTAGGTCAGTTCCTCTTGGCTGAGTGCTGGAGTGGCCCAAAGCAGCGTGCTGAACGCGTTCTCTCCTCCCTAGCTCCCGGATGGCCGGATCATCAAGGTTGGGGGAGAGCGGTTTGAGGCACCAGAGGCCCTCTTCCAGCCTCACCTAATCAACGTGGAGGGCGTTGGTGTGGCCGAACTGCTGTTCAACACCATCCAGGCTGCCGACATCGATACCAGGTAAGAGCAAAGCCCAGGGTGCAGGGCAGCCAGCGGAGCGTCTGCGAGCAGCCCCGCTCGTGCTGCACTGGCTCCCGGGGCTCGGCGGGCTCCCCAGGCTGGTTAGGAATGAACGAGCAAGCAGGGAATCTTGGAAGCGCGGAGCTTTTGCTGCTGCTTCCAAGGACGCCTGGAAAAGCACGCGCGCGCGTGCCAAGGGAGCGCCAAAGCCCGCTTTGTGTAGGGCCTGCCTCCTGCTGAGCTTGGGAGCTGCTCCCTGTGCCACAGCGTGTCCTCTGCAAGGCTCTGTTCCCCACCAGGTCTGAATTCTATAAGCACATTGTGCTGTCCGGAGGCTCCACCATGTATCCCGGGCTGCCCTCGCGACTGGAGCGGGAGCTCAAACAGCTCTACCTGGAACGGGTCCTCAAGGGAGATGTGGAAAAGCTCTCTGTAAGTACCCAGTCGCTGCTTTATTTCTGTGTATTTGTGTGTATTTGTCTTGAATCCCCACTAGAGGGAACCAAGAGGTCAGGCCGTGGTGGCCCTGCTTGCAGCTGGGGCTGTGTGCAGCTCAGTTCTGCACAGCTGTGATTTGGGTATTTGCAATCCAGACCCCTTCTAGCCCATGCTAGTGGCAAGATTCCTGAAACTTTGGCTTAGTTGAGTGTAAAATGTGCAGTTTGGTGCTGCTAGTGAATTTTAGTTGTGCCAGGAATTCACAACGGAGCAAAATCACCTTTCTTTTTTAATTTTGCATGCTGTACCTTTAATTGAGATGCTCAAAACTCAGAGACTGGAGTTCTCACACATGTTCAAGTGAAATAAACCTTCCCTTTCCAGTAGCTCTGGGAAAGGCAGGCAGCCGCCAAACACCCATCACAGAGGCAACTGCTGTTCAAGGAGCAGATGCCAAGGAAATTCTTTTCAGTGCAGTTTCTAATGTAGAACTGAACTTGGGCAGTTCTTAAAGTATCATCTAAGGATGTTCTGCAGCTCTTTGGAATGACTTGGTGGCAACTGTGCAGAGTATTTGTCTAGAACACTAATAGTTTACATGTGGATTTGACCGTATTCATTTCTGCTATTGAAAACAGGGATTGAGCATCAGAGAGGTTAAGGGAGTATTTAATCAGTTAAGCTGGTCTAAATTGTACAGATTTAGAATCTGTTCCTTCTGCCTTTCTAAAACTTGGTATAATCCCCAAATACTTGGTGATCTGGTAACTTGCAACAGATTCAGCCATGAAAGCTTAGTAACTGTTTCTTTACTCCGTTCATGAAATACAAAAATGCAATCTTAAATTTAGTATTCTGACTCCTGCTTTTTTTCTTCTTCCTGCGTGGATATACTGAAGATATAATTTTGGGGAAAGTGTGAATAGCTGTCTCCAATTTCCAGCCCAAAGTAGCTATTTGAGTTGGGCAGTGCGAGCGGGCAGCTCATGCGGAGCGCCCCGTGCTAGCGTTTCAGTTTTGCACTTGGATTCTTCTCGCTAAGCAATTTCCACTTCATTGTTCCGGTAGAAAGAAAGCTCAATTTTTGTTTTAAGTGGCTTCATTCCAAGAATGCTCGTAATGGGTTCTCTTTTCTTTTCTCAGAAATTCAAGATCCGCATTGAAGATCCCCCTCGTCGGAAGCACATGGTGTTCCTGGGCGGCGCGGTGCTCGCAGACATCATGAAAGACAAGGACAACTTCTGGATGACCCGGCAGGAGTACCAGGAGAAGGGCGTGCGGGTGCTAGAGAAGCTTGGGGTGACAGTTCGATAGGTCCCCAAGCTCCTTCCCATCACTTGTCTAAAGCTTTTCTTCCCTTTCATTGCCAATCTCCGAACTCACTCGGCTCCATGCTATGGAAAGGCCTTGCCCGGGGCCTTTGACCCAAAGGTCAGGTTTTGGGCTGGCTTCTTGGGGTAGCTTTTGTTAAATGTTTCTTAATGTGGCTAAATTTGACTATTAAATTTGACCACTTCCCGGCAAACAAAGCGGAGCAAGAGCAGCCTGTCTACTTCATTGGTCCTCCCCAGTAGAGAGCTGGGCGCTTCTGGTGGGCTCTTTCTTCTGGGTTTATTGCCGTAGTCCTGCTAGCTTTTGTCTCTAGTTCACAAGGGGTCGTGTGCCTTTTTTTTTTTAGCATAAGAAAAACTTAAAACAGAAGCTTTTGCCATTGGGTCATTGTGGTGGTTGTCTCTGCATCTTTCTGCCTCTCTCTACCTTAACGATTTTTTTCTTTTGTGCAATTAGGAATTTTGATTAAACATAGTTAGAAACTAGTTTAATTAGCTGGAGTGGCTTTAACACGGTCTCGGTGCGATGGGCCTCCATATGCACTGCTGCCTAAACTGGCTTCTGAGGTGGTTTATCAGAATTCTTAAAGGTGACGGAGCTTCTTTACTGCATTTCTGCAGCTGGGCACGTGCACAGGTGCCACAGGAACATCCCACGTTCTGGTAAATGTAAAGTTGTGGCCTTAGGTGTCCTTTTTTTGGGAGGAAGGAGACAGAGGTTTGTGCTGTGTTGCTTTTCTGCCAACAAACAGCTGGGGGACAGTCTGACCAGAAACGCCCCGTTTTTGTAGCTAAATTTTGGTACCATCTTGTCTCGGCACAGGGAGCACGAATGTTATATTAACTACTGCATAATTGCTGGGCTTCAGAGACCTCGTTGAGAAACTCAAATATGCTGGGACAGGAGCCTCTAAACTTCTGAGGAGATTTTTAATACTTTCAGAAATGCCTGTGAAAACTGTAATTATGGATATGAAAATCCCCCAAAACTTAAGTTGCAGAAGTCTGATGTTTTAAGTGCTTGTATGTACATCAGAAGCACTTCCATTAAACTTTACAAACACATTAACCTAGTGCCAAGAAGTTATTGCGAATGGATGTTTCCCTGACCAGTGTTTATCACAGCAAGCAGATATTTATAAACAACCACTGGCAGCAGGTTTTAAAGAATTACTTATATTTGTTGCAGTTAAAAATAACATTGGGATACGAGATGTGGGTTGGTAAATATCCCGTTCATTCTGTCCACTCTTGTTTTTTTGATACTTAACATGGAATGGGGAAGGAAGTAAAAACCAGTGATGAAAATGCTGTTTCCAGAAAGGACATTAAAGCTAAGTTGTACTGAAAAACAGAAGTTGTCGCTAGTGATTATCAGCCACCTTCTCCGAGTAGTCGCCTGTACTTTTTATTTTCTGTGCAAGCATCCTGGTATCTTTGCAATAAAATCTGCCCCGCATAGAGCGTAGCAGAAAACCGGCGCTCAAATGCAAGCGTTAGACTTAGTTCTGTTTAGCTTTTCACGGAAACATTACATCACTCTGGTCTTCCAAGCCTCCCATGACATTAAGGAAATTAAGATCTGCTCCCGACTTCCGCCCCTCGGAATGTGCGTGGGATACGTCCCTGCACTTGCCGTTTGCCCACATCTCGACGTGGAAAATCGTCCCCGGGGACGCGGAGATTTCCCCTGCGCCGCCCCGCGCAGCTCGCCCGCTTCCGAAGCGGAGGAGGCCGCTTCCTTGCGGCCCAGAGATTCCCCGGGCAGAGGCCGTGCCTGCATTTCTTTAATAACAGGACAGTTGCTGTAGTATTGCTAGTAATGACCATTTAATTATAGGTGGGTGGGGTTTTTTGCAGCTATATTTACTCTTAACTTGAACAATATGAATTTCCAGGCATGCCGGTCATGCCTCAGCGCATGCACTTACACAGTTTCTAGATTTTTGGGGACGTGAATGTAAGGGGTACTCAGAATTCCTGTAGTCTTCTGAACATTTAATACCCGAGACGTAGGAATGCTGTGGGCTTGCTTTAGAGCTGGGGCTTCTCCTGTCTCCGGGCTTTTCGGACAGTGTTGAGAATCATGGAAATAAACCAAAGAATGACCTAAAAAAATGACTTTTTGAATGACAATCTGCCCGACGGTTTTTCAGATCTGCATCTTGAACCCCGCGTTTCCTTGCTAAACGGCGACGTCCCCCCTTCACTTCGGGTAGGGATGTGTGTAGGAGCACGCTCCGAGCGTCGGGAATCTGCCCGTTGTGCTCGGAGCACTCCACAGCACCGTGAGTGATAGATGCCACTCAATTGTGCAGGAACTTCATTTGCCACAGAAACCATACTATATATATAATATAAATAAATATATATATATATAAACCACACCTAGCATCTTAAATTATTGCTATGTGGAGTCGGATTGATCCTTAACCCAAGTCCCGAGCGGGGAGCCCTGGCCGGGCTCGGCGCGTGTTCCCGAGCTCCAGGATTGCCATGCGAGCGATCTGCCTTTAGCTTCTTTTTCCCTTTCTTTCCAAGACCAAATAACTTGAGTTGCAATTGCAATGCGCTCCTCTTGAATTAGACTAGCAGATGCCTCCGCAGTTGTGAGTTTTTTAAGTCCTATTTTCAATGTTAAGCTGCTTCAAACCCCGCTCTCCTCCACCCCCTGTGTTCTAGGATGTTAACCCATGTAACACAAATGGCTTTTTTTATACATATCTGAACAATGTTAACACACAGCTCTGGCAGAGACCATGAATGGAAATAAACATCTATTTAAATTGACAGGTCTTTTCACTATTAAAAAAAAAAGAAAATAAAACCAGATTTTTTCAAATTAGATCACGTTTGCTTTGTTTCCTTTGGGAAATCAGTTCTGTCAGTTTTTCTCTTCCTTACCTTTCCTCTCGGAGCTACCACGAGCTGTTTCTGCCGAGGAACCCCGACATGGCAAAGCGGCGGCGATCCCCACCGGTGCCTGTCTCGGGATGGAAAACAACAACAGCAGCAAAACCCCAATAACGTTACTGCCTCCTGCAGCACCAACGCCAGCCCGGGTTGCTGAAATACACCCAGGCCTCGTCCTCGTGTCCTCTTCTCACCCAACCTTCAGCCAGCGTTTTCGGCAGCGGGTCCCCCTGTGTCTGCGTCACCCCAGACGTTGGCTCCGTTGGCAGTTCCGCTACTGTGGAAAATCACGTTTGTGGATGTTCCTGTGCAAACAGGACAACTAGCGAAAAAAAAGGTGTTTTTTTTCTAGCAAATATTAACATCTCAACTGAAAAATTGTTTTATCCAAGCCTCCCTGTGTGCAGAAACACTCGTTTCCTTCTAAGGGTTAATTTATTATTCTGTGGGCAGGAGCCGTTGTCGCGTTGTCATTGCAGACCCCCCCAGCACCTTCCTTCCAGCACAAATCCATGATTTTCCTCGTTCCCTCCCCTGCGCTAGGGTCGGCACCGAGCGAGGCCGTCGCGGGCCCAGGCCTTCCTTCCCCGGAGCCCGTGGCTCCAGCCTGTGCTCCGCATGGAAAACTGCTGGGAAGCCCGGACCAACCCTTTGGTGTTGCCCCAGCGAGACGTTCCGGAACCTTCCGAAGGCTGCTCGGGTTGGACGTCTCTGCCCTTCCAAAGAAACCCTCGAGGCCGAGGCTTAGGGAAGCGGCTTCTATCCCAGTAAAGCAGGTTAAGGATCTTCCAGCGGAACGTGAGGACGCTGCTGCAGGGCGTCTTCCACCCGCAACCTGCTGCTCCTTCCCTTTTTCCTTTCTAATCTCTGTTCCCCGGCGCCTGGGGCTGCTGCTCAGGCCGTAGCTGCAGGAATAGAGTCGGTTTTTGCCCACACCTCCTTCCTGCACCCGCCTCCCCTCTCGTTTTTGCTTGCCCTGGAGCCTACGTGGCTTCAGGCTCTTGCGCTCGCTGGTTTTAAAGGTATTTTAAGGAATTAATTAATCACCCGCGGCCGCCCTCGGCGCTCACAAAGTCCCGACCTGCATCGGGCCCTTCCCGGCACCGCGGCGCTCCTCGGCGCTGCTCCAGTTCCCAGGGTGCCCGGGAAGGCCGAGGGCGGCATTAAGGACAGGGAAGACGGGATTTAGGGAGGTGCCCAAGCACACAACCTCCCGGGAAGCTTTCAGGGCTTTCCCGTTGCAGGGGGTGTCAGCATTACGTTGAGCTCCCCTGTGGCAAAGTCCAGTAAAAGCCGGTGGGATTTCCGGAACGTGCTCCGGGATCGCTCATTGCAGCGCACCCCGTGGGGCAGCTCACTAAACGGATACCAGGTTTCCAAAGGGCACCACGGAAATGGGAATGTTGGGCCCAGCGGGCTCATTTTCATTAGCTGCCAGCTCAGCGCCGGCTCCTTGCACCATGGCAATTCAGTGGGAATGTTGCTGTTCCCAGCGGGATGCTCCGAGTGCTCTGCCGAGCCCAGGAATGCACTTTTAGGAGCGCAGGCTTTGCCTGTAGGTGCATAAACCTGGATATCCCTTGTGACAAAGCAAAATTAAGGAGGATTCACTAATTCCAGGCGTCGCTGCTGGCCCCGTTGGCCTTTGGCGTACCCATAGACATGTTTTGTTCAACCGTTTGCTCGTACTTTCAAGGGGATTACGCCTGGAGCTGGGGTCCCTTTTCACGCTCAGCCGTGTCCCGCTTGTGTCCGTGGTGCCCGTGCGGATTCCCAAGGCCGGCACGGAGCCGGGGAGGCCCAAGAGGCCGCCCCCTGTTCCCGGCGGTTTGGGGAGGCAGCCGGTGGGCCCGGAGGAAGTGACTCCTCTCTTCCCCCTCGTCCTCCCGGTTCCTATCGTCTGGCCTGCTACAATAATTAGCGGGAGGGAGCCGGGAAAAGCATCCCAGCTGCACGAGGCAGGAAGGCCGCGACGGCGGGAAAGGGGGAGGGAAAAGCCCCGCCTGGGTCCCAGCTGCCCTCCATGCATCCTACGGGACCACCAGGAGTCCCCGTTGATTTAGGGGGAAAAGCTGAGGAAATGGGTCAAGCCCAGCCGGGTCCCGGGGCAGCAGCGCTGCTGCTTCAGGCCTGGGGTGCCTTTTCCAAGACCTGGGTGTCCCCAACCCTCCCTCCTCTCTCCCCGCTGCTTCGCCTTCCAACCAGGGCCCAGCCACAGCGGGACCACCTATGACCACAGGTGGGAACAGGGAATTCCGCGCGGCGGCCTCCGGCTGCAATCGGATCGTGCGATTAGAGCCGGGAGCCACCAGAGTAACTGGGGACCAAGCGGAGGCCCAGGAAGCTCCTGCCTGCTGCTCCTCGATAGCGCTCGCTTTGGGATAGCGCTCGCTTTGGGATAGCGCTCGCTTTGGGATAGCTCCAGCTTTGGGAGAAAGGTGCCTGAACAGCGGCATTTTGGGCTCTGCTTCGGGGCTCCGGCTGCAGTCCGGGGCAGCCGGCATCCCGGCGGAGACCCATGTGCATCCCAGGCGGGACGAAGCCGGGGAAACCGCTGCTGGCTCCACTTTTCCTGCCAGAAGCAGCGTTTTAACCGAGGCGCTGGCTCCCGACGGAGGCTGCGCTCTGCGGCGCTCCAACATCTTTGCTCCATCTGAATAATTGCAAACGTCTGTCTTTAATCTGTTTTCAAGACTTGTTTGGGGTTTGGGTTGTGTTTTTTTTTACAAAGTACAAAAGAAAA